TTAATATATTTCAAATATATTACTTATTAGTATATTCATTTATGAATATTGATTGTTATTTTACTTATTATTATTTATTCATTTATGAATATTTTTGTTTTAATACAGATATTAGATGATTTATTTACGAACACAGACTTTAGAAAAAGGTTTTCGAAGCTTGTTTGGGACATTAATATGAAACTTGATGTTTTTGAGGTGAAGTGGGGTTTGCTTATGAAGGAATTCAATCTTGAAGACACAAGATGGTTTAAAGACATGTTTACAATACGTGATTCATGGATACCTGGATATTTTAGTGATATTCCAATGTGTGGTTTGATGAAGACTACATCGAGGTCAGAGAGTATGAATTCATTCTTTAATACATACTCAGAAAGTGGGAACTTACTTTTGAATTTCATGATGAATTACGACACTGCCATTCAAAAGCAAAGGAATACTCAACGAGAGCTTGATAAGGCATCAAAGAAAGCATCATATAAAATGCAAACACCTCGAGAAATAGAACTGCAAGCATCAAAGGTTTATACAAGTACATTATTTTTTGAGGTGCAAAAAGAAATATATAAAGCATGTTTTTTCTGTACATACTCATATGTTGGTATTGAAGATGGTTGGGAAGTTTACATTGTGCAGCACAACAACAGTAAAAGTGATTTTAAAAATGAATTTAAGGTAATTTTACTAGTTTTTTATGAAAAATGTAATAATATTCATATATGAATATGAGAATATTCATATATGAATATCAATATTCATATATGAATATATGAATATTATATGAATATATGAATATATGAGTGTTGATATGAGTATTCTTATATGAATGTAAATGTGTAAATTTTGTTTTTGTATCAGGTTGAAATAAAAGCTGAAGAGAAAGAAATAAATTGCAGTTGTGAACATTTTAAGCGTATGGGTGTTTTATGCAGACATGCTTTTACAATAATGATGAGATGTGGTGTTAAAGAAATTCCTGAAAGGTACATTTTGAAGAGATGGAGAAAGGATGTGATATCAAGAAATTATCGTTTTAGTTCTGTTCAATCCGATTCAGGTGATTGTGAGAATGTAAAGCTAGTCAATGATTCATATTATAGTTTTGAATCATGTTTGGATATTTTAAGAGATGACAAAAAGAGATTGGCTTTGTTTGCTGAGAAACAACAAATGTTGTTGAAGGAATTTGAGAGTGATTATATTTCTCCTGGATTGAAAAGCAAGACAGATGGTGAAGTCGTATGCAAGCTTTTGGGTGTTACTATTCCTATTCCAGAAGAGATTAATATTCATGTTCCTGAAGTTCAAAGCAATAAAGGTTCTGGAATCAAGAAAAGAATTCCAAGTGCAGGTGAAGTAGCATATGAAAATTCTAAAAAAGAACATAGAATGTGTTCAGGATGTGGAAAACGAGTTCCACACAATTTACGTACTTGTCCAGAAAGAGTTGGAGCTGCTAAATCAGCAAAAGACAGTTAGAGATTTTTTAGTTTTTTTTTTAATGTTTTTTGGTTTTATTCATTTATGAATATATGCAGATAAAAACAATAAACAATAATATTCATGTATGAATAATACACATTTATATTGATATGGTAAATTGATATGTTGATATTTGTTTTTTAAATTACTATAAAATAAGTTATATTGATATTGTAAATTATTCATAAATGAATACAAATATGTGAAATTTGTTATATAATAAATAAGTAATATTCATATCTGAACTTTTTTATGTTAATATCTGAACTTTGTTATACTAACATATTACTTTGAACTTATTCATAAATGAATATATCATATTCGTATTCATTTATGAATAAATAAAAATAAAGTTTGAAAATATTTGAATATAAAAAAATGACATAAATAAGCAAACTTGTTTCTACTAATAAGTTAGTTATATTCATATCTGAAATTTGTTATATTCATATATGAACTTTGTTATACTGACATATTACTCCTAATTTAATCATAAATGAATATATCATATTCGTATTCATTTATGAATAAACATAAATAAACTTTGAAAATATTTAAATATAAAAAACTGACAGAAATAAGCGAAGTTGTTTCTATTACATAATCATTCAACACAAGATAATAAAAGCTGTTCATAAGCATTTCACAAAATATTAAAACGATGTTCAATAACATTTAACAAACCATTTAAAACTTGTTTCGCAAATCATCTTACATGTACTTCAAATCCATTCATCTTCAACACAAACTGTTCTATAGCATCACACTTCAACATTCTTTCATCTTCACAAGCAATCATCAATATTCTTTTAACCTTTTTTGAATTGTTTGCATAGCCTTGTATGCATGATCAGTACGCACTTTGAATTCAACTTTTTGATATTTTTCAGCAAGATCCAACACCTTAGCCTTCAACATGTTAATTTCAGAAGTTAGCATTATGTGTGCATATCTTTGCCTGAGCTTCTCTAAAGTAGTTTGCTGAACTGCACTTTCTTTATGAAGACCTGGTTTCCACTTTGAGAGTGGTTGTCCCATATAGGTCTCCATATGTCTCATTGCAAAGACCCCACAATCAACTTTGTTTTTAACTGTTCTCCATGACATTTCAAGTCGTTGGGGTTTGATACTTTCTTTTGAGATTGCATTTGCTCTTGGATGGTTTATTTCTTTAAAGTATCTCACAAACAAATTTTTCTGATCATTAAATAAAATAAAAGTTAGATATGTAATAAATTGGTTCTTTTATGTTGTTGTGAATTGGGTACATACCAAAGGTTTCAATATTACTCCGTATTTCCCTTCATAATCCCCCTCAACTGCACTATTGTCTAGAATTTCAATTGATGGTTTCTTTAAGTTGAAGACAATCACAAAAATGTGAGTACTTCTAACAACTGGAAAGAATACCTGTTTTTATGTATATAATGGTAAGTATTTTGTGGATAAAATATATATAAAAAAACAACTTTAATTAACATACCATGTCAATATCTTTTATGTTCAAGATTTTTTTGTACCCATTGGTACTGTCATGAAAGTTCTCCTTGAATTTTTCATACTTTCTTTCATCAGACAATGTTGAAGTTAGATAAGCAGTCTGTAACCAATATAATCATATGTGAATTTCAGTTGAATATATATAATTATGTTAAAGAATACATCATATTTGTATAATCATATGTGAATTTCAGTTGTAAAAAAATATAATATTCATAAATGAATACATCATATTGGTGTATTCATTTATCAATAAGGAAGGAATTAAGGTTAGAACATAAACTTACAGAAACTCCAACTTTCAAGAAGAGTCTGTATGGTGAATTTCCAAAATCCCTTTCCAGTTCTTGGTGGTTAAGTAAATCAGCCCAAGTGTCTAAAACTTCTCCAAAAATCTCTGTGTTTGCATATAGACTTTCCATAACTGCTCTTTCTGTTATCTGACCATATTTTGTCTGGACAACCACATCTCTGCAAATATATAATCAAAATGTCATAGATTATTATCTATATAATAATCATATATGAATGTATATAAAATAAAGTTACTTACGATGTATTGCCTTGTAAGTTGAACAACCATTCACAGATAATACTCTCCTGATGTGTCAGTTTGGGTTTTGTGTCTGTTATTCTGCATTTGAAAGGTGATTTGAAAGCATCAGCAAGCTTTTTCTCTATTGGTTGATCCAGATCATGCTTTGATGGTCCTACTTCAGTAGGAATTGATACAGAGATTGGATTTGGATTAAGAACATTTTTCTTTGCTAATCTGATAACAACCTTCTGATGGTCGTCTTTGATTTGTTTCTTTGTAAGTGGTTTTTTTGGTGAAGATTCATTAGATTTTTTACTTGAAGTTTGATCTGAATCTTGACTGAGACCTAGACTAAAGCTTGGATGAGTATCTGCATGCCAGGAGATTTATCATATAAATAGTTGTAAGTTAATTATAATATTTGAGTTTATATTTTGAAATGTTTATCCAAATTGTTACCTCCTTTATTTCCTTTTGTCTTGTCAGCTTTTTCTCCTTTCTTGTTTTCATTTTCTGACTTTTTCTTTCCTGAAAGATAAAGAACTTTGATTAAGTAATTCATATGTGAATAAGTAATGTATTCATTTATGAATAAGTAATGCATATCATTATTTATGAATAAGAAATATTAAAATTTTATTTTTTTGTATATTGCGTTATTTATTTGTGAATAATAAAACTTATTATATTCATTTATTAGTGATTCAACTATTTACCTTTATCTTCTGCATTTCCTTTCTCAGTTTTTGTATGTTTATCTTCACCTCCATCTTTCGTGTTCTTAGCTTCTGTTCCTCCTTTATTTCTATCTTCAGAGTTTTCCTTGCCTGAAACATATACATCATATATGAATATTTTTTATTTTTTATTCATTTATATAGTGTATTATTCACTTATGAATAAACAATGTTATTAAAAAAATCAATATAAATATTGTAATATATTTTAAATCATTCATTTACCTGTTTCATCTCCCTTTGTTTTTTCAACTTTTGTTCATTGTTCATGTACACCTTCTGATTTTTCCTTTTCTGCAAGAGTATTAGTTTACCTGTACTCATTGGTGACCCTGGTCAAAATTTAATAAACAAAATTGTTATTGTGTATTAATATTTTTATATATTTTTTTAAAATAAAAGTAAGACAAAATTTACCTATATCAATATTATCGAAAATAGTTTTCATTTCAGGGTGATTCCAGATTTCATCTTCTTGACTATTTAAACTTGAAATTCCAATTCCAAGGACATTGTCCACAATGTTGTCAACAACTTTATCCAACAAATTTTCATTTTCAGTTTGTTGAATAGTCTCTTCATGATTATTTGTTTCTTCATTATCATCAACTTTTTTCTCTTCATCATTGTCATTTTGATTGTTCTTTCCATCTTTCTCTTTTACTTCAGTTTCACCTTCTTTTTTATTATTATCTCATCATTCTTTATTCTTTATTCTCTGCTTCATTTGAATCAAGCAATTAATCTTCTTCTGGTTGACTTCCATCATTATCATTGTCTTCTTCACCATTTCCCTCTTTATCTTCATTTTCTTTTTGATCATTTGTTTTTTGACAGATTATTGGTGTCAAATTGATTCCTTCAAATCCAGTTTGATTACTTGGAAATTCAAAAATAGTTGTGCCTTCTGTTTTTTCTTCACCAATTATATTTGTCATCTTTTCTTCGAAAATCCTAAAACTTTCCTTTTCAGGGAACTTTGTTATCGCATCATTGAGCTTTGAATTCAGCTTTTCCTTCATCCTCTCGAAACTATTAAGCATTTTAGATATTTTTGATTCATATGCCTATGTAATAAAAAGAAGTATGATTAGAATTTAATGTAATCATATATTATTAACATGTTCAAACTAATTACCTCAACAGAATGATCTTCATCTTTATCAGAATCATTGTCTTCGAGATCTGTATCTCCTTCATCTTGTTCATTAACAAATTCTTCGTTTAATTCTCCAAGTCCAAATCTACCTTTTTCTTGTTCAAATGTCTCTTGATATCTAATCTTCTCTGAACTCCAATAATAAATTGTTGGACGTTTACGTGTTACTGTTAAAGCTTCTGAGTGGATGTTATCAGCATAGAACAACTGCACATAAATGATAACTAATTGATATTCATATATGAACAAGTAATATTATTTTTTACTTATTCATATATGAATAAGTAATGTAAAGCATTACGTGTGAACACATATATTTTTCTTATTCATATATGAATATTTGCGATTAGTTTATGAATAATCAATATTATTAAAAATTGAGTATAAACATTATAATAACTTACCACCAAGAAAGTTGAAGGTCCAACAAAGAAGTTGATATCTGAGTATGGTATGTATGAGTTTTTTGTTCTGACAAGACAGTCCAAAACATAGCTGCACCAGTCTATGTTGCTGATATCTGTTTTTCTTGAAATATAACTCAAGGGAAACAGCTTGCATCTTCCCATTGATGTTGACTCGCAAAACGTGTTGACAAAAAGAACTAAGAAGTTCAATTTGAAATTGAAATCAGCTTGTGTGGTAGAAACAATAACATTTTTGATTGGACTCAGTCGGATGATTGAATATTTTTTAAATTGTTGCTTCCATTCATCATAACTTGTATCATCCTTAGGCCATTGATCCAGTTGTGTAAGTTTGGTTCCACCAATTGTTATGCCCAACATGTCATGAACAGACTCTCCTGTTACTTTTAGTTCATTTCCTTCAATATCTATCACCATTCTCTCAGAATCAAATTTTTGAAGAACATAAAATCCCAGCTTCAGTGGTATATCTGTGATTTTCATTTTTAACAAAGCTCCAAAACCCATAGATCTTACACATTCTTTTTGTTCTTTGCTCATCCCAAGGATTATAGATAGTAATGCCTCTGGTGAACATCTGTTTTTCATTGAGTAAAATTCTTTTACCATTGGTTTTTTTTTTTTTTGTCTTTTTTGATTGGTGACTCCTTTTTTTTGCCTTCTTCGATGGATGACTACTTTCAAAATCAGAGTCTGAATCTTGTAGTTGTTGTTTTTCAGGAGTTTTCCTTTTTGATGGACTTTTTCTGCTTTGATGCTTTATTTTCTTTGGTACTTTTGTTTCTTTTTTATCTGGGAAATGAAAACATATAATATTTGAATAAGTTACTGATATATGAATATGATATATGCTCGTTGATTTATTAATATTTATTTATTACAAAAATATAACTAATATATACAATTTTATTCATATATGAATATATTAGATATGATAGGAATTTTGTACCTTTCACATTTTTCCTCTTCAAATCTGTTTCTATCATAGTTGTGGGGTCTTTATCAGAAATACAAATCTTCTTACCTTCATGAAAGAGTGAGTAGAAGATAAATAATTTTGAAATACATTTTACAAAGAAAATATATTATATTCATAAATGAATATAGAATATTCATTTATAAGATATGATATGTATTTTATACCTTTTTGATTTTTCTGCATTGATCTTGTTTCTCTCATTGTTGGTGAATCTTTATCGGAAATGTTAGTGTTCTTACCTTCATTCAATAGTAAGTAGAAGATAAATGAGTTTGATATTCACGAATGAATATTTGAATAAAACATATGTATTCATATTTTTTTATTCTCATATGAATATGTTTTGTTATATTCATATGTGAATAGAACATATATAAGTCATTCTTGTTGTATTCATATTTGAATAATGTATGTATGGCAGCAAGTTATGTTCTATTCATATGTGAATATAACATACATATTCACGAATGAATATTTGAATAAAACATATGTATTCATATTTTTTTATTCTCATATGAATATGTTTTGTTATATTGACATTTGAATAATGTATATATGGCAGCAAGTTATGTTCTATTCATATGTGAATGTAACATACATATTCACGAATGAATATTTGAATAAAACATATGTATTCATATTTTTTTATTCTCATATGAATATGTTTTGTTATATTCATATGTGAATAGAACATATATAAGTCATTCTTGTTGTATTCATATTTGAATAATGTATGTATGGCAGCAAGTTATGTTCTATTCATATATGAATATAACATACATATTCACGAATGAATATTTGAATAAAACATATGTATTCACATTTTTTTATTCTAATATGAATATGTTTTGTTATATTCACATTTGAATAATGTATGTATGGCAGCAAGTTATGTTCTATTCATATGTGAATATAACATACATATTCACGAATGAATATTTGAATAAAACATATGTATTCATATTTTTTTATTCTCATATGAATATGTTTTGTTATATTCATATGTGAATAGAACATATATAAGTCATTCTTGTTGTATTCACATTTGAATAATGTATGTATGACAGCAAGTTATGTTCTATTCATATGTGAATATAACATACATATTCACGAATGAATATTTGAATAAAACATATGTATTCATATTTTTTTATTCTCATATAAATATGTTTTGTTATATTCACATTTGAATAATGTATGTATGGCAGCCAGTTATGTTCTATTTATATGTGAATATAACATACATATTCACGAATGAATATTTGAATAAAATATATGTATTCATATTTTTTTATTCTCATATGAATATGTTTTGTTCTATTCATATGTGAATAGAACATATATAAGTCATTCTTGTTGTATTCATATTTGAATAATGTATGTATGACAACAAGTTATGTTCTATTCATATATGAATATAACATAAATATTCACATTTGAATATTAGTTTTGCTTGTGTTGAGAAGTAAACAAAACATATTTTATTTACCTTTTTGATTTGTTCTTGTTTTTCGTTTATATGTTTTCTTCACTGTTGGTGTTGTTTCTGTAAGAGTAAGTAGTTAATATTAGGAAAACATAAGCGAAATGTGAAGTAACGTTTGTATTTTGACAAAATAGTTTTGAATAAAGATGAAAAATGAAGAGATGATGTAAAATCATTTATATATCAACTAATAATGGATGATTCTTACAAAAATTTCAAGTAAATAAAGTAATAACGAAGGAGGTTACGAGAATGAACGAGTATCATAAAAAATTGAAGTAAACAACCTTTTTTGAAGAATGAACAGTGTGAAAACAATGTTTTTAGTTCTAAATCAACTAATAATGATCGAAGATTACGAGAAATTTCAAGTAATCAAGTGATAATTTTAGAAATGATTCGAAATCGTTAAAAACTCGAGAAAAAACGTCGATGGTTACCTTTCATTGTCAAGAGTGAGGAAATGGTCTCGTTCATGTTTTCATCGGAAGACATTTTTCTTCGTTTATGTTATTTGATGCTTCTGCAAATGGTTTTCTTCTTATCGATTCTTCTGCAAATGGTTTTCGTGTTATGGTGTATCGAAGAGGGAAATGGTGTTTTTCTGTCGAGATTTGATGTGTTATCAAATTACTCAAGTGCCCTGACGGTTTAATGTTTTTGGATTATTTACAAATTTGTCACCGCTCATTAATGTATTTGGATTATTTACAAGTTTGTCACCGTGCGTTTTTTAAGCTCATTAAATGATTGGTTGAGAATGGTTCCCTCATTCTCAACCTTTTTTTTCTCAATTGAACCCTCTTCTCTCTCTCTCTCTCTTTCTCTCTCTCTCTCTCTCTCTCTCTCTCTCTCTCTCTATATATATATATATATATATATATATATATATATATATATATATATATATATATATATATATATATAATGCGTAAGGGTACATTAGTCATAGCGCTAATAATGATTTATGAAAATGTCATCTCCAATAATCGTATAATTATGTAAACTAGTGGAAGACTCATCATGCCGTCGGCGTAGGTTTCGATTGGTTTAGACATTATTTTTTTATGAAAGGGTTGGTGTCATTAAGATAACATGAGATTGTGCATCCATTGTGGAAACACAATGTTCATAGATGTGTTAAATAAGAAGCTGGTAAATTGGTATGTTTATAACATCTGCATGTTTACAAAAGACTTCTACGTGAAATTAATAAGATATTACATTCATGGAACTTGCATGTTGACAAAAAGCTTGTACATATAGATTGATAGAATAAATGACCATTTTAAAAAGCTTGTACATATATATTGATAGACTAAATGACCATTTTGCCCCTGCATAGTCATCCCGAAAGACGTGAGCTCATAGTTACCTTCTTGCCCCCACGGACCACCATACCCACCTTGCTCATTTACATCACCTTGCATATCACTCAACATATTTGTAGATCCAAGTCTTGATCTTTTTAGTGGGCCCGAGTTTCGGATGATTTTCGGCCCCTTTGTAAATAATTTAAGTTATATGACCCACGTGTGACCTTTCAACTTTCTTTTTAATAGGACAGTTTAAAATAGTGTGTTTGTAATAACTTTGAGGGTACTCACTTCCCTTCACTTGTTTCTGTCAATATTTCCTCCAATTATATCCAACTTAAGATAAGACGTTGTTTGAATTATTACCAATATCTCCATTTTTTCTTTGATCTGCATTATCTTCAAGATGTTCTTGATACCATTTGGAACAAATTGGAACTTTCTAGTAGTTGGAGTTGGTTGAACCTACAAAAGAAAGAATCGGTTGAGATCATTTAGTATAGTGAATTACGAGTTTTTAACCAAAATAGGGTTATTGAAAAAAATATTTACCAATCTAGTATAGTTTGAAAAATATTTACCAAACTAGTGTTTTCCTTCATTTTTTTTATTTTTCAATATTTCTTATTGTTTTTCTATTTATTTAAAATATCAGCTTTTTTACTTTTTTTATTTCAGTTTTTTTACTATTTATTTTAAATATCAGTTTATTATTATTATTATTATTATTATTTACTATGCATTTAACATAAATATCTAACATACAAAAGAGCTTTATTACTTTGGTTCATTACATGCCTATTTGATTAATTTTTTTCTACCGTTTATATAGTGATTACGAGTTTACTTTAATTTTCTTACCATTTATTTATACATATATTTTAAAAACTTAACCCTTTTACAAATTCAAGTTTTTTCTCATGTCTTTATTTATACAACCTTTGCATGCTTTTTAATTGAGTGTCTTTACATTATAAAATATAAAAAGCAAAAGTTTACATATTTTTTGTCTTTACATAAAAACAAATATGTAAAAACATAGAAAACAAATTTTAAAAAAATCTAATTTGTAAAACGAAAGAAATCATAAAATACATGCATAAAACGAAATATGTAAAAAATATTTAGAAAACAAATTTCCAAATCAATAAAAACTATTATTTCAAAAACACGTGAAAACAAAATTGTAAAAAAAAATATACGGACAAAATTTTATAACACAACTATTACTTTTGCTTTTTATATTTTATTTTCAATGTAAAGAAACTCAATTAAAAAGCATGCAAAGGTTGTATAAATAAAGACATGAGAAAAAACTTCTTTTTGTAAAGGGTTAAGTTTTTAAAATATATATATAAATAAATGGTAAGAAAATTAAAGTAAACTCGTAATCACTATATAAACGGTAGAAAAAAATTAATCAAATAGGCATATAATGAACCAAAATAATAAAGCTCTTTTGTATGTTAGATATTTATGTTAAATGTATAGTAAATAAAAGTATATAAAATTTAATAAAAAAAACTGAAACAAAAATAAAATAAAAAAATAAACTGATATTTAAAATCAATAAATAGTAAAAAAAAACTGAATTAAAAAAGAAGTAAAAAAGCTGATTTTTTAATAAATAGAAAAACAATAAGAAATATTGAAAAATAAAAAAAAATGAAGAAAAACACTAGTTTGGTAAATAATTTTCATACTATACTAGATTGGTAAATATTTTTTTCAATAACCCCATTTTGGTTAAAAACTCGTGAATTACTAATGTGCCGTTATATTTTATCAGTCTCTATTAGAAACACTT